GGGTTTAGGGTTTAGGGTTTAGGGTTTAGGGTTTAGGGTTTAGGGTTTAGGGTTTAGGGTTTAGGGTTTAGGGTTTAGGGTTTAGGGTTTAGGGTTTAGGGTTCGGGTTTAGGGTAGGCTCTGGAGTCCCTGCTTCTAGGTCCTATCTTGGTAGCACCCGACATCCCAAACCCTAAACTTTAACCCCCGCCCCCTTTTCCCTTTCTTTTTCCTATCGTTCAGGGGATTCTACCTCGGACCCTGAGGTTTTACCCTTCCCCTTGGGTTTGGGGAGGCCGTGTTTAAAGATCCTCTGAGGGAGTAGAAGGGCCACATAGGAGTAGACTAAGGGTAAGCCAGGAAGGGCACCACCTTTCGGTCCGAGTATGGCTCCCTTGAATGCAGCACCCTCTTCCCCCCATGTCTCTCCCCAACAGGGTACCCTTGTGGTAATATGGTTCCTGGGCATCCAGGTAGTTCATGACCGCCACACCCTGAAGCCCTAAGCCCGAAGCCCTAAGCCCTAAGCCCTAAGCCCTAAGCCCTAAGCCCTAAGCCCTAAGCTCTAAGCCATAAGAAGCGCTAAAACCTAAAGACCTAAAGAAATCTAAATCCCAGACTCCCCCAGACCCCCCCTCAAGGGAACCTGCCCCGGCCCGCCCGGAACCCGAAGTTTAGGGTTTAGGGTTCAGGGTTCAGGGTTCAGGGTTTAGGGTTTAGGGTAAAGGAATCCCAACCTCCCGAACTCCTGAGCCCGTCAGGTTCGGAGAGACTCCATCGGACGTGGCTGTGGAGAATGCCGCAGCCTTCTTGGGGAAGGACTGGGGTGAGTCTTGAAGTCCTTATAGACCCTCCCTGAAACCCTGAAGCCTAAACTCCAAGCCCTCAACCCTGAATTTAAGTTCAGGGGTTTAGGGGTCAGTGGGTGGAGTGGTGGGAGGGGGGGTGAGTGTCACCAGACCCTACCGTCAAAAGGGCGACCACTGGTGAAGATCCAAAGCCCCATGCAGCCCGAAAAGCCCAGGCCCCGAACCCCACAGCCCACCCTCGAAGCCCCACCCTCGAAGCCCCACACCCTAAACCCTAAACCCTAAACCCTAAACCCTAAACCCTAAACCCTAAACCCTAAACCCTAAACCCTAAACCCTAAACCCTAAACCCTAAACCCTAAACCCTGAACCCTAAACACTGAACCCTGAACCCTAATCCCTGAACCCTAAACCCTAAGCCCTCAACTGCAAGCAATAAACACCCGGCCTAGGACTCCTCCTCGGTGGCAGCCGTCCTGATAAAGCGGGAGCCCCCGCCCCGTGGATCCCCAAAAGTGTTGAGGGTTTAGGGTTAAGGGGTTTAGAGGGTTAAGGGTTTAGGGGTTTAGGGGCTTAAGGGTTTAGAGGTGTAGGGGTTTAGGGGTTTAGGGGTTTAGAGGTTTAGGGGTTTAGGGGTTTAGGGGTTTAGGGGTTTAGGGGTTTAGGGGTTTAGGGTTTAGGGAACGGGGGCAGTTTCAGGGTTTGGGGTTTAGGGGTTTAGGGTCTTAGGGTTTAGGGGTGTAGGAGTTTAGGGTTTAGGGGTTTAGGGTTTCGGGGTTTAGGGGTTACGGTTGGGGTTTAGGGTTTAGGGGTGTGGGGGTTTAGGGGTGTAGGGGTTTAGGGGTTAGGGGTTTAGGGTTGGGGTTTAGGGTTTTAGGGTTTTTGGGTTTTATGGCTTAGGGTTCTGGGTTAGTTTAGGCATTTAGGGGTTACGTAGGGGTTCAGGGTTCAGGGATATACTGCGCTTGCTTTTTCAATTGGGTTCAAGGTTGCCGGTTCCGGCCTTGATATGTCTTCGTCTCCCCCCCGCCTCCATGCTGGGTTCTTCAGGGATAGTAAAGGGTTTAGGGTTTAGGGTTTAGGGTTTAGGGTTTAGGGTTTAGGGTTTAGGGTTTAGGGTTTAGGGTTTAGGGTTTAGGGTTTAGGGTTTAGGGTTTAGGGTTTAGGGTTTAGGGTTTAGGAATAGTAAAGGGCCCGAAAGGGTTTCGTTAAGACTTGAAAATTCAGCTACATGACGTTCGGTGCTGAGGGGGGGGCTTCCGGGTTCAGGAGTCTGGGGGTGGGGTAGAAAGTTCGCCCCCAACACGCCATACTTTGTTTAAGCCCCAAACCCGAAGCCCCTCAGCTTTAAAGCCCGCAACCCTCAAGTCGAAGCCCTGGAGACCCCAAACCCTATAAACGTTTAAACATTAAGCCTAAAACTCTAAGCCCCCTAAACCTTAAACCTCCAAGCCCACCCCGAGACTCCAAAGCCCCTCCCCCAAAGCACCCTGAAGATGGAGGCTGTCGGATTTTGGGTTTAGGGTTTCGGGTTTACTTGAAGGTTCATGGTACTTATTAGCCACTTAAAATTGTACTTATAACTGTACTTATAAGCCCCTTAAGCGCCCAAATATAGCTATAATTTAGGTTATGAGTACAGTTATAATTGGTTACTAAGTACCATGAACCTCCAAGTAGCGTTTCGGACAACCCTGACCCCAACTCGAGTTTCTCACCTTGCAGGAGAGGTTCGGTTCAGGGTCCAGCGTGTTTACCTTCCACCCCCTCTCGCTTTTTCCGAGGCTCTGCGGAAGAAAAGAAACCCTGAACCCTAAACCCTAAACCCTAAACCATAAACCCTAAACCCTACGACGTACTGAGGCATCTGACCCGCACCTTCTCCTTCGCGAGGCAGAGTGTGGAGGGGCCTTTGCTTGTACCCTCAAAGTGGCTTTGGGCTTCTAGAGGGCTTCTGTTTAGGGTTTATGGTTTAGGGTTTAGGGTTTAGGGTTTATGGTTTAGGGTGGGTTCTTCTTAATTTCAGGGCTTGTGGTTTCTTGTGGAGGATTCGGGTACACACATGGTTTTGGGGATGGTTGGGCTTTCGGAGGCATGGGTTAAGGCTTCTTCTTAGGACGAAGATACAGCAAATCAAGCCCTACACAGCCCTACACCCTTGGAGATTGCCCTGAGCCCTAAACCACCTCGTTGTGTTGAAGAGAACCACACCTTTGTACCCTGAACTGTTATATCTTGGGAGCTTCATTCTCTTGAAGCTAGCCCTGAACCCCAATCCATGAACCCTAAACCCTAAACCCTAAACCCTAAACCTTTAACCACAAACCCCATGGCTATGCAATGCCAATCTTGGCTGCCCATCCTTAACCTCTGCCCCGTCTCCAGCATGGGGGACTTGGTGTGGCCACCTGATCCCTAAACCCTAAACCCTAAACCCTAACACCCTACACCCTACACCCTAAACCCTAAACCCTAAACCCTAAACCCTAAACCCTAAACCCTAAACCCTAAACCCTAAACCCTAAACCCTAAACCCTAAAACCCTAAAACCCTAAAACCCTAAACCCAAGTGTAGACTGAATCTTGAAGCCCCCTCAGTTTCATCCAGGATCCCAGCGTGTAGTGTCAGTCTCCTGAATTGCTCGCTCTCCCTCTCTCTCTCTCTCTATGTCTCTCTCTCTCTCTCTCTCTGAGCGCACCCTGATGAAGCCCTAAGGCTTTGGCGGGTTGGGAGGTTGAGGTTGGGATGTTCCCCCTTATACTCGCAGTCCTTAATAGGGATTATAGTCCCCCCTCCCCTCATCAGAATCCTTGTTAAGGACTGTGAGTATAGGGGGGAACATCCCAAGGTCCAGGAGGAGAACCCCTAAAACCCTAAAACCCTAAACCCTAAACCTTAAACCCTAAACCCTAAACCCTAAACCCCCAAACCCTTGACCCCTGCCAGGAGGTCGCATTTGGCGTGGCCGAAAATTACTCAGCAGACGCGCTCGTTCTGAGCGAGCTCCTGTAGGGCTGTAGCATGTTTGGGGATGGTAGCTTGGGGCGTTGTGGGGTTCATATGGGGCTTATGAGGCTCCAGAGGGTCTGGGGGTAGCTGGGCGGTTTCACCCAGAGGAAGGCCGGCAGACACAACGTCGCCCGCAGCAAGCAGTTCTGCTTCAACTGTCAATCTTAGGATGCTCAGTAGTACCCTTTTTCCCTATTTAGGGTTTAGGGTTTGGGGTTTAGGGTTTAGGGTCTATATGGGTTTAGGGTTTAGGGTTTAGGGTTTGGGCTTTGGGCTTTGGGGTTTGGGGTTTAATGTACTCCAATAAGAAAAGGGGCAGCCTGTTTCCTCCCAGCTTCCTGGGCAACCTAGTCTCTGGACTCTCAGCTGGCAACCCCAAACCCAAGAAACCCTCAGCCCCAACTTGCTCAAGCAAGTTTAGGGTTTGGGGTTTAGGGTCTAGGGTTCAGGGTTTAGGGTGTAGGGCTCGCCTCCGGCCAAGTTAAGTTTGCAGTTTTGGGCTGAGGGTCTGGTAGGAGAATTGGGACCCGGAGTGGGCCCTTTATTTCCTTTTTTTCGGGTTGGGGTTCCCTTAAACCCTAAACCCCCCTTAAACCCTAAACCCTAAATCCTTTAAAACCTAAACGGGTACTCTTTTTATTCATAAGTCGGTTGCTCCTGGGTCTAGGGTAGGATAGGATGTGCTTCGGGTTCAGGTGTGAGTTCAGGTTTAAATCTTCGGGCTCTGCAGTCTCTACCCAGAGGCTCCAATACCCCCTTCATTAAGGAGATATTCCTTAAACTCTAATGAAGCCTCTTCTGTGTTAAGGAATATTCCTTAGCTACGGGGCATTGGAGTCTCTGGGTACTTTTCAGTTAGGCTTAAACCCTAAACCCTAAACCCGAAACCCGAAACCCTAAACCCTAAACCCCAAACCCTTAGTTCGCCTTAACGGGCTTATACGGCTTGAGCGGCGTTCAAGCGCCCGCCACCCCGCTTGGCCTGTCGCATCCGGAAGGGCTCAAGCTTCCTGAAGTGGCCAGCAACGCCAAGGAAAGCATACCCAGAGTAGTTCAAAAAGCCACCATAGGGTTTAGGGTTTGGGGTTTAGTTTAGGGTTTAGGGTTTAGGGTTTAGGGTTTAGGGTTTAGGGTTTAGGGTTTAGGGTTTAGGGTTTAGGGTTTAGGGTTTAGGGTTTAGGGTTTAGGGGTAGACTTGCGCCATGCCGTCCTTCGCACAGCTGCTAGCGCAGGAAGTCAAGGAGGTCGAAAGCAAGTGGCTTCAGGCGGAGCGCACACAATTCGAAGCCGAGTGCAAGAAGGTGACTAGGTAGGGGGTTAGGTTTTAGGGTTTAGGGTTTAGGGTTTAGGGTTTAGGGTTTAGGGTTTAGGGTTTAGGGTTTAGGTTTTAGGGTTAGGCCCTTGGGACATTTTATATTTTCCCTTCTTGGGTTTTAACAAGGAACATCTTCAGGAATATTTTTTTCAGAGGATTTTAATGGGCCATCTTAGGTGAGCAAGGAGGGGGGCATGAGCATCTTACACACAGCGACTCCTCCGGGGAAGTTCTCGCGCGACCGCGTGATGGCCGCGCTGCGCAAGGAGCTTGATGCCCTGGGCTTCTCCTTCCTCGACATTACGGCTTCGTGGTGGCCCAGTGGTGCCCTTTGCAAGGGTTTGGGGTTTAGGGTTTAGGGTTTAGGGTTAGGGCTAGTGGTAGCCCAGTCCCTTTTCTTTTTTTGTTTCTGGTTTCCCTTATAAAGTAGCCAGCCCAAAAGGGTGCCCTTATTGTAATATACCAAGGCTTACGAATCGTGCATGCAGATCGCCGCCTCATGGGAGGGCGTGGACGCAGCCGCAGAGCCCAGCCAAAAGAAGCGAAGGACCGGCATCCCGCACTCGCACAAGTGCGTCTCGGATCGCCTTGGCCCTGGATGCTCGTGGTATGATTTTTGTTTTCATGGCACTTCAGAGTATCAGCATCGATGACCTCGTTGCGCCTGTCTTCTCTTTTCATTGCGATGCTAGTGGTGGTGTGGTGGTGGTTGTTTTTGCATTTGCTGTTGCCCCTGCGGCTCCTGTCACCACTTTGCAAGCCCAGCCCCCCCCCCCCCCCCAAACACTAAACCCTAAACCCTAAACCCTAAACCCTAAACCCTAAACCCTACACCCTAAACCCTAAACCCTAAACCCTAAACCCTAAACCCTAAACCCTAAACCCTAAACCCCAGGCACCATTTGCCAAGAGACCCGTTCCATGGTGGTCTTGGCGCCCTGCGGCCACACACTCTGCCAAGCTTGCCAGGATCCGCGGGTGGGGTAAAACGGCTCAGTGGCATGGTCAAGCCCTTTAAACCTTGAACCCTAAACCCTAAACCCTAAACCCTAAACCCTAAACCCTAAACCCTAAACCCTAAGAAATTTCACTAACGTAGGAGGTTTGTAGGGGGAGGGTTAGGTCTTAGTGTTTATAGGGTTTGCAGGGTTTTAGATGTTGGGATGTTCACCCTTGTACTAGCAGTCCTTCATAGGGCTTGTAAAAGGGGGCACTAATTATCGACGGCGCAAGAGACGTATGCTCCCAAAAGCACCAATTAAGCATGAATCCTCCATAGAGACGAAAATAATGAAGAGAGACTGCTCTCGGCACTATAATCCCTATTAAGGACCATTTGTATAACCGGGAGCATCCCAACCTTAAAGCCCGTTCTAAAGCCTTGAAACAGCCTTTAAAGCCTGTAAAGCCTTTCCTAAAACCCTTAAGAACCCTTCAGACCCTGTACCCTAAACCCTAAACCCTAAACGCTAAACCCTAAACCCTAGACCCTAAACCCTAAACCCTAGACCCTAGCCCTAAAAACCCTCGGCCACCCCAAGAGCTCTTCGTCCATAGGGTTTTCTCCGACCCGTCCCGGGCTTGAGAAGACGAGTGGCTCTTCTGTGAATAGGGTTTAGGGTTTAGGGTTTAGGGTTTAGGGATGTTTGTAGTTCGGGTTCTGGCTTCGTTTTTTTGTATGTGCGCTTGCACAGGGTTTAGCGATTAGGGCTTTTCGAGTGTGGGGTTTAGGGTGTTGGTCCTTAGTTAGTACAAAATGGTGGTGGCGGTGGTGGTGCTTCTGATGCTGCAGCAATTTTTGCAACATGGTATTGGCATTCATAGGGAAGGCCTGGCCACGAACATCTAGCCAATGAAGCTGCCGCAAGTTCATCGCCTTTCACCCATTTAGCAGTAGTGCATCTCACCCGATGGCGCATTCATCGCTGCAGCACTGGACAAAGACCCCCCTAAACCCTAAACCCTAAACCCTAAACCCTAAACCCTAAACCCTAAACCCTAAACCCTAAACCCCAAACCCTAACCCCTAAACCCCCATCTAAACCCTAAACCCTAAACCCTAAACCCTAAACCCTAAACCCTAAACCCTAAACCCTAAACCCTAAACCCTAAACCCTAAACCCTAAACCCTAAACCCTAAACCCTAAACCCTAAACCCATATCCGAAACAAACCCAAGCACCAAGCAAGAGCGTGGCAGGACAAGCGGAATGGCAAGAAGTGTCCGCAACTCGCTACTGCAATGAGGGTCCTGGATTTAGGGTTTGCTTCGCAGGCTTTAGGGGTACACTTACACCCAAAACCCTGAACCCTGAACCCTAAACCCGAAACCCGAAACCCGAAACCCGAAACCCGAAACCCGAAACCCTTACCCCGACATGGGGTCAGCGGCCTGGAAGTCTGTGGGGCCCCGATCCAGGTTCTGCCGACAACCGGTGCAGATTGTCACGAAGGGGCTGTTCCTGGATTGAGAGCTTTTCGGGGTTTAGGGTTTAGGGTTTAGGGCTCAAATTAGAGTTTAGGAGGTAGGGTTTAGGAGTTTAGGAGTTTAAGAGTTTACGAGTTTAGGGTTAGGAGTTTAGGGGTTTTATAAGGGTTTAGGGTTGAATGCTTTACGACAACATAGGAGTTTAAGAGTTTACGAGTTTAGGGTTAGGAGTTTAGGGGTTTTATAAGGGTTTAGGGTTGAATGCTTTACGACAACATAGGCCCTTGCATTCTCTTGATTTCATTCACAGGTCCCATGGCGCCCATTTTCATAGGATCACCGATATGTCTTGAGACCCTAAACCTTGAACCCTAAACCCTAAACTCTAAACCCTAAACCCTAAACCTTAAGATGTATTCCTCTATTAAGAAGTAACTGAGCCCCCTGGGCTAGTTTCGTGGGCTGGACCGCAACAGATCTTAGCTAGTCGGATGCCAGATGTCTGATCTGATCTTTGCGGCCAAAGTCTGTCCAATCCAAAGGACTCCGGTACCTTGATAGGAGTTGAAGTCCTATCTGCAGGGGTTTAGGGTTTAGGGTTTGGGGTTTAGGGTTTAGGGTTTAGGGTTTATGAAGCCCCATCTGCAGGGGTAGGCTTGAAAGTAATTTCGGACTTAGTCCCCTTACTCGCCTAAGAAAAACAAATATATCGCGCCCCCAATCCTAACCCAGTTTGGGTCGATATGACCTTGTACGGCAGTACATCGGATCCTTTGGGTAAGGAGATGGGGCAGGGCAGCAGAAATGCAGTCCCTGACTGGCGCATAGTGCATGAAGACACTATGCGTGTTTTTGTCCCACTGAGCACCTCAGAAGATTGCTGATAGTTTTAAGGGTTTACGGTCAGCCATGGTCGTCACTCCCTCAATGCACTCCTAACACGGCCCATATATTCCCTTAAAGCATCCTTCAAAAGGGCCCCCCAATTCCAAGGGTACAACCTTAGGCGTCCAAGGCAGAGTCCCATGAGGTCAACATGGAGCGCTGTTCGAGAGCTACCAAAACTGCACGGCGGCAGTTCGCAGTTCTAACGCCTAAACCCTAATCCCTAAACCCTAAACCCTAAACCCTAAACCCTGAACCCTAAACCCTGAACCCTGAACCCTGAACCCTGAACCTATAAACCCCAAACACCGGCAATCTTCAGGTGCTCTGCGTGTCTTGCAGTCTGCTATATGGGTATTTCCCTAAGCATATGTTTGGTATTCCGCAAAGTAGGGGAGAAACCCCGCAGAGTTCCCTCAACACCTATATACAATACCCGGGTTTAGGGTTTAGGGTTTAGGGTTTAGGGTTTAGGGTTTAGGGTTTAGGGTTTAGGGTTTAGGGTTTAGTGCAGGGAAATCCCCACATCTATGGCATGGAAGACCGCGGCTGCCATGTAGCGCAGATGATGGCAAACGGGTGCAAAAAAGCGGCCAGGGATGCATTCCTAGCCCTAAACCCTAAACCCTAAACCCTAAACCCTAAACCCTAAACCCTAAACCCGGGGACCCCCAATGTAGTGCTGGCAGCGGCGGGCCATAGCTGGGACTCTATTTACCTACAGTTTTGTAGTAGCCCAAAGAGCCCAATATCCCTGAATTAGGGAATATTGCTTAATTTGTATAGGGATCCTTAATATGATTTAAGGTATATTGCTTAATTAAGGGGTCAAGATTGGGCTCTTTGGGAATTTCCCTGAATTAGAAGGCATAACCCATAAAACTGTAGGTAGAGAGGGGCCCAGGTATCACTTGCTGTGCTCAGGCTACTGCCTTGGACCAACTGCACTGCGGCCAACGATGCGCCTGGGCCAAGGGGCTGACATGGGGCGAAGAGCTGGGAGACTTGACGGATTTCTATGATAGGATTGTAGTGTTTAATTTCTATGGTAGGATGTAGTGTTTATAATTTCTATGATAGGATGTAGTGTTTACATTTCTTTGATAGGATGTAGTGCTTAATTTCTTTGATAGGATGTAGTGTTTAATTTCTTTGATAGGATGTAGTGTTTAATTTCTTTGATAGGATGTAGTGTTTAAATTTCTTTGATAGGGTGTAGTGTTTAATTTCTTTGATAGGATGTAGTGTTTAAATTTCTTTGATAGGATGTAGTGTTTAATTTCTTTGATAGGATGTAGTGTTCAATTTCTTTGATAGGATGTAGTGTTTAATTTCTTTGATAGGATGTAGTGTTTAATTTCTTTGATAGTGTTTAATTTCTTTGATAGGATGTAGTGTTTAATTTCTTTGATAGGATGTAGTGTTTAATTTCTTTGATAGGATGTAGTGTTTAATTTCTTTGATAGGATGTAGTGTTTAATTTCTTTGATAGGATGTAGTGTTTAATTTCTTTGATAGGATGTAGTGTTTAATTTCTTTGATAGGATGTAGTGTTTAAATTTCTTTGATAGGATGTAGTGTTTAATTTCTTTGATAGGATGTAGTGTTTAAATTTCTTTGATAGGATGTAGTGTTTAATTTCTTTGATAGGATGTAGTGTTTAATTTCTTTGATAGGATGTAGTGTTTAATTTCTTTGATAGGATGTAGTGTTTAATTTCTTTGATAGGATGTAGTGTTTAATTTCTTTGATAGGATGTAGTGTTTAATTTTTAATGCTACGCGACCCGCCTCGGCCCGGCCCAGCGCATCCGCGTGAGCATGGTGATTCCGCAGCGCCCAAGTCGCTGGACCCCAAGCAATAAGGGTTGGGTTGAGGGTTGAGGGTTGAGGGTTCCGGGTTTATGGTTTATGGTTTGGGGTTCGCTTTGGGGTTGTTTAGGGTTCGGCTTGGAGTGATCGTAGGGTTGAGCCAGGCCCCTTAAGGGACTCTTCGGCTTCGGCTTCGGCAGGGTGGGTGGGGGGGAGGGGAGGGGGGGGAGGGTGGGGGGGGGGCGTAGTAGGGGGGGAGGGGGGGGGGTGAACAACGGGCCCTGCTGGGAGGGGCTTCAACTGCCTCTGGTCCTGGCGAACCGTCCGCTTGCGGAGCCCGGTTTCCCAGGGGGGGTACCCATTTGAGGCCAAAAAAAGGGGTCCGACTTTGGGTGTGGGGGGAGGATTTGGAGGGGGGGTGCCTGTTCTGACAACCTATACACCTCCGGCCCGAGGCCTCGGCGGATTTCTTTGATAGGATGTAGTGTTTAATTTCTTTGATAGGATGTAGTGTTTAAGCTTGGGGTTTAGGGTTTCGGGCGCTTAGGGATTTCTATGATAGGTTTTAGGTTGGGATCTTCCCCCCTTATTCTAACCGAGGGATTAGAATAGGGGGTACGATCATCCCTATATGAGGGACTGTTAGTAGAGGGGGGGAACATCCCAAGCTTTAGGGTTTGAGCTTAGGGTCTAGAGATCTTTCAGCTGTCGTTTGCTCTTGTTTCTGCACTTTTCCCCGGCCCACGTGTGGGGCGGGGCCCGGCTCTCCTCACCAGGCGCATCGGGACTTGGGGTTTAGGGTTTAGGGTTTAGGGTTTAGGGTTGAGGGTTTCGGATGTGAATCCACAAAGCTGTGGGGTGCTCCTGCTCAACCAAGACATCTGATGCCCTGATTCCCCCCCCTCCAGTTCCCCAGTATACCATCATTGAACCCTGCTCACCGCAAACCCCAAACCCCAAACCCCAAACCCCCCAACCCCGAACCCAAGCCCCAAACCCCCAACCCCAAACCCCAAATCCCAAAACCCAAACCCCCAACCCCAAACCCCAATCCCCAATCACCCCACAGCCTGTAGCATCCAAGCCTGATACACATGCAAAAGTCCCCCAAGGAATTCCCAGAACCTGAGTCTCAAGGGTTTAGGGTTTAGGGTTTAGGGTTTAGGGTTTAGGGTTTAGGGTTTAGGGTTTCATGGCTTGGAGAGAGCCAGGAAGCACATCCTCTTGGACTTCTGTGAGCCCTCAGCAAGCGCGTCTCACAAAGGAGCCAGAGTGAAGCTCTGTGGCAAAAAGAAGAGCCCTCTACCCGAAGCCCCAAACCCTAAACCCTAAACCTTAAACCCTAAACCCTAAACCCTGATACCCTACCACCCTAAAATACCCGGAACCCCAGAATCCTCACAAGCCTAAGCCCTAAACGTACTGCTTCTTTTTGAGTAGGGAATGGAAGTCGGTAGCCTCTAGAACTCTAACTCCATAATCCCTAGAGGGAAGTTTAATTGGTGGATTCCATGCACCTAGATCCTTCCTTCCCTAGTCCCTGGGAACCAGCAAGTAAACCCCATGGCTTGGTGCACATGGGTTCAATACCCCCAAAACCCTAAACACCAAAACCCTAAACCCTAAACCCTAAACCCCAAAACCCTAAACCCCAAAACCCTAAACCCCAAAACCCCACAACCCTCACTTGGGGGGTAGGGTCTATGGGGTTAGGGTTGGGGGGTTCATGCCTCGGGGCTTAGGGTAGGGCTTTGTGTTTGGGAGTTTCGGGATTGTAGGGTTTGTTGAAGTAGGCCTAGGGCTTGGGATTCAGGGTTTAGGGTTTAGGGTTTAGGGTTTAGGGTTCAGGGATTTAGGGCTGTAGGGGCTTTGAGAGGTTACAGGCTTGGCCCTGTTTGAGGCTTACGTCTTGGAGGTTCATGTTGAAAAGCAGCCTCTGACTCACGCAGCTTCTTTGGGGCCCACCCGAAACCCTTAAACCCTCAACCCTAAACCCTAAATTTAAACCCTGAACCCGAATGTAGGTGGGGGGGGGGGGGGGGGGGGGGGTCACCGCAATCGTGGGCCCAGGTCTCTGTTAAAGTATATTTGAGGGACCGGCACCTCCCTGAGTCGCTAGGTGCAGGCCCCAAACCCTAAACCCTAAACCCTGAAAGTTTGGGAACCCCCAAACGCTGGCAGGCCTGCAGGGATACCTCATGCAGTCCGGAGACAAGCTAATGCTGCGCGAGAACTGCAGCGGCGAGGTCTCGGGGCCTCAGCCCTGAACCCTAAACCCTAACCCTTGGGTTTAGGGTTTAGGGTTTAGGGTTTAGGGACACGAATCCTTAAGACCGATCCCACAAGGCCTTGAACAGGACTCAGAGTAGCTTCCAAACCTCTGTCCCAAACCCGGTCTGTCCCAAACCCTAACCCACCCCCGCACCCCTAAGCCCTTGGAAACGCTCGAGCCTTAGAAGTTGTTGAGGGTTTAGGGTTTAGGGTTTAGGGTTTAGGGTTTAGGTTTTGGGGTTTGGGGCTTGGGGTTTAGGGTTGAGGCTTGCCGCCGGATACGCCACGCGAATTTGTTATTGTGTTCAAACCTTCGTACTTCGTGCCAGCAACAGCTACCAGTCGTGAACTATTTCTCTGTAACTTCCCATGATTCAATCCGAAGTGAAACATGCAATTTTGACAAGAAGCTATGTGAAGGATGGCGGCATTGTAGTATCGTGTTGCTGTTGAATAACACTGGCATATGAGCTGTTTTCAGTGCAGTATGGTAGTTTTGAGTTTTCGGGTGTTTGAAGGATTTGTGCTCTTTCGTCATTGCCGCACACAAGAAGCATCCAGCCTGAGACCCCACATCCCTAAACACTAAGCCGCCCCATGAAACCCTACACACGAAGGCCAAAACCCCCAGCCCTCAGCCCCAAGAAGCTCGGAAAACCCTTTGAAGGCCTCTTTTCCAGCCCTAGTACCCTAAAATCTAAACCCTCCGACTCCGATGGTTTTTGGGACTGTTTGGGGCTCGAGAACCCCAAATTTGGCCCTAACCCCCCAACCCGAAACCCCAAACCCTAGACCCTAAACCCCAAACCCCAAACCCTAAACCCTCAACCCTAAACCCTAAACCCTAAACCCTAAACCCTAAACCCTAAACCCTAAACCCTAAACCCTATTCGGGTTCAGCATCCCCAGGTGGGCAGCCCGGCCGTGGAGGCCTTCACGGGGCCCTCACGGCCGTCGCCGAATCCTTCGCCGGTGCGCCCTGAACCCGAGTAGGGTTTAGGGTTTAGGGTTTAGGGTCTAGGGTTTAGGGTTTAGGGTTTAGGGTTTAGGGTTTAGGGTTTAGGTTTTAGGGTTTAGGGTTTAGGGTTTAGGGTTTACGGCTTGGGCTTTGTGCTTTGGGGTTCAGGGCTTAGGGTTTAGGGTTTAGGGCTTTGGCGTTTAGGGTTTAGGGTCTAAGGTCTAAACCCTAAAGCCTAGACACTGGGGCTCGAAGTAGGCGTGAAGAAATCTGGGCATCAAACAAGGCATCCACATTGTTTGTTGTGGAGCCCCTTCGTTTCAAGGTGTGGGGTTTAGGGTTTAGTTTAGGGCAACCCTAAACCCGACACCTAAACCTTAAAACGTTCTCCGGCACAAGCAGTTTTGAGCCGAAAAAGAGCGCTAGACCCAAACACCTTGAAGAGGCCCTATAATCTGTCTAAGCCAGGGCCACCTGTAAAGTCTATAAGGCCTAAACACCCGAAGGGGCACTAAAAAAACGCTTAAGCCCCTACAAGCCAGATCTTTTGGGTTCGGGGTTTTGTGGTTCAGGGTGTAGGGTATTAGGGCTTGTGCGGCTTTCGGGGTTGAGTCTTTCGGGGGCCAAATTTCAAGTCTAGGGCTGGTAGGGATTTCCTAGGCAGGATAAGGGGGGCCCTTAAAAGGGAACCCCTTCTTAACCCTCTTCTGGCTCTCTTAAACAGGGACCTTATTCAGAGGGTCTATGTCCCCAAGGGTCCCTCTAATCCTATCCCTAAACCCTGAACCCTAAACCTTAAACCCTAAACCCTAAACCCTAATTAATCCCCTCCTATCCCCTAGGATTCGGGAACAGCACCCCTCCTGGAGACTATAAAAACCCTGAACTCTGTGTTTGGTCGCGGGACTGGACGAGATCCATTCCTGAAGAAATACCATGGAG